AAGAGTCTGTTTTCCATTCCTGTGATTCAGCTTCTCTCATCCCACACATGGCGTTGCATTAGAGCATCTGCAGTCATGGAGTCTGAGTCCAGTACTGGGAAGGTATTCCCCATACCCAAAACTATCACACCAAGTTCCAGAAACTTCTGAGATGGAGTGTTCACTTCATCTGCCTAGCACCAGTGAACCAGACACATCTGATTTCTATCCACCCTTGTCTATAGAGATATACCCCTATTAGGCAGATGGGTTTTACAGGCTGTAGGATGTATTAATTTGACAAATTCAGCACATTGTCACATCTTACTGTGTTTTGTGAGTAAATTTGAACATAGCAAAGGACTCCGATACTATTTTTTGCAGGAATTTGTCAGGACAATGCTTTAGCCCAGAGTTAACTTTCTAATCACACAAATCTACCCCAAGCCCTTGTCCCTGCTCTGAGGTCCAAGTCCCTGCTTGCTCCATCCCCCTCGCTGTGTTGCTTGCATCCACTTTAACCAGGTTTGGGTAGTAGGTTGGGGTGTAGGCAGGGTGTGAGGGCTCCAGCTGGGGGTGCAGGCTTTGGGCTGGAACTGGGGATGAGGAGTTTGGTGTATGAGAAAAGGTTTCAGGATGGGGCAGGTGTGTTGGGTACAGGGGTGGTATGGAGCCTGGGGAGGCAGAAATGAGTGTTTAAAGTGGTGGGAGAAAGGAACTGGGCTGGGGTTGGGAGGTGAGGTCTCTGGCTAGGGATGAAAGGTTTGGGGTGCAGGAGGGGGCTTAGGGCTACCCTGAGGTGTTCGGAGTGCAGAAGTGGGTGCAGACTCAGCTGGGAATGTGGGGCCTGGGAAGGGGGTCAGGGATGAGAGGTATGGAGTACAGGAAGGGGCTCTAGGCTGGGACAGTGGATTGGCATTTGGGGGAGGGTACAGGAGAGCATTTGTGTGGGAGGGGAATCCAGGCTGGGGCAGGGAGTTGTGGTGCAGAAGGGGTTGGGATGCAGGGTCCTGACAGTGTTTACCACAGCAGCTCTCAGAGAGTGTCTGCCAGGTCCCTGCAGCCCCCAGGTATATGGTGCTGATGCTGCAGCTCCCATTGGTTGTGGTTCCCAGCCAATGAGAGTTGTGGGGGAAGTGCCAACATGTGTGAGAGTAGCATGTAGTGCCTCTGTGGCTGCTTTCAGGAGCCACATGGAACCAAGGCAGGAGGGAGCCTGCCTTAGCTCTGTCCTCATTGTGCTGCCAACTGGACTTACAACTGTCTGGTAGGTGGTGCCAGCTGGAGCCGTCAGGGTCCCCTTCTGATCAAGAATTTCTGTCAAAAATCAGACACCTGTTAACCCTACATTATCTGCCAGTTAGTGGAGAATATTTTGAGATTTCCCCTTAGTTCTGGAATAGCACTTTAACTTTTGTGTTTAAAAATAATAGAGAGATTATTTAAGTACTCGCTTCCTGAAAATTTAAGCCTGTGTCCTGGAAGCTTCTGGAAACTTGGGTAGCTTTTCTTTCTTGCAAGGTCCCAGGCTGATGACTGCAGCGGGCTTTGGATAAGGCTCTTTGTCACCAATTAAATGAATTTAATTGAATCAATTGTTGGATAAACCTTCTGAAACAGGCTGTATGTTTGGCACTTGCCCCTCATGAGAAACTCGAGACAGCAGCAGTAAGGATGTTCTGAGGGAGGATTAAGGTGAAAGAGCGATAGGAAAGAAGCTATCTGTACAGCACCAGCTGCACTGCGTAGTGATCGTTTTGTACGTGTGCTGTTCCCATAGGCTTCAGTGGGGCCATGTGTTTCAGTCAGTTACTTTACCCATTATTGATTCTTCACTTTCAGAAGCAATGAATTAAGTTGTGAACCCTTTTTAAATGCATGGACTGAAGAGGTGATTCTAACATTTGTTTATTGCAATTAACTAATCCTCCTATTTACAAATGATTTCAGTAGTTCTTTTTACAAGCACTTGGAGAGGATTAGAAGACTAAAGTATCTTACTGTAGTGCAGTGTTAATAGGATTTTGAAGGCCGGAGGCTTGTTGTATCACAGCTGTATGACACACGTTTGTATGGTCTATCCCGTCAGCTATTCTGCTCTGAAGAGAGATGGACAAAGGCTGTCATCTCTGATGAAGAAAGGAGAAGCTGTGGAAGCAAAGCCTGCTAGGCCGGTTACAGTGTACAGCCTCTCTCTCCAAAACTTCCAGCCACCGCTGTTCACGCTGGGTAAGAATATAAGAATGGCCATACTGGGTCAGACCAAAGGTCCTGTCTTCCAACGGTGGCCAATGCTAGGTGTCCCTATAGGGAATGAACAGAACAGGTAATCATCAAGTGATCCCGACACCATTCCCAACCTCTGACAAACAGAGGCTGGGGATACCATTGCTACCCAGTGATGGACCTATCTTCCATAAAGGCCTGCAGGGTAAGGGCCGGAGATTTGATGTAAGCTGATGCTCCTGGCTTCTCTACACTCAGACTGGAAATTAAGTCACTAAGTGGGTTTCAGTTCACATGGTTAGTTATTTCAGAGCAAGTCTGCCTGTGGGCACTCTCATTTTGCAGTAAGAATGCCCTGAATCGATTTGACTTAATCTGATTTCATATTGTCATTCTGGGGGGAGCTAGGCTGGACTGGAAATTATTCCTACCCACCACGATTGTATTCTCAAACCTTGGCTCACTCCATCCTGAAAGGGGGCAGGGAGGAACAATGGCCCCGTTTCCAGTTTGGGGACCACACCCCCTTCTTTCATATGTAAAGAAATGTAGTTAACACACAAGGAAGCACAGAAATGAATTGGAGAAGCCTTTGAAAATCTTACCCTCTGATATTGTTGGTGAAGGCAGGGCAGTTCTGTGCTTTCTGGAATTACCCCCGTTGCTCCCTGAGATGCCCGCTGGTGTTCTGCATGTTGTGGTGTTAAAAGTGGGCATGGCCACTATCTTTCAATGGTGTGTGTTGTTTAAATAGTTATTTTATGGTGGGAGATTGGTAGCTGATCACTGCGGGAGGCTGGAAGGGAGGGTGGGGGAGTTAAGACAGAAGGGAATGGTAAAGATAGGTTTTAGAATGTCACAGCTCAGGTCAGCTGTGCCCTTTAGGTGCAGGCAGTATTTTAAAGTGTTCATTGTCCATTTGGAGTAGCACTTAAAATGACTGGTTTTCATCATTGGAAAGATGCAACTTATGACCTTTTGAAACCTTTCAAATGAACGAGACATGTATTTATTAAAATGCCAGGGCCAATTGCAGACCCATATGCAGGAATTTCTGTGTGTGGGAGGGCTGGTGGTTGACCTGCTCTCAGCCCCACCTATCTGCTCCTGTGGGATGGAATGAGCCCCAACCTTCTCCCAGCCTTCTCCTGGGGGGAGGGAAGCTGGGGCAACATGCCTCCCAAGCCTCATGCTTACTTTGAGGACCATGTGGGGGTCCGTTCGCAACCCCCCCCCCCCCGCGTACAGGCCTGAATCATTAATTTATAACGCCTTTGTTCAGTCACTGTTCTGTTTGCTTTCTCTCCTCTCTGCCTTTGCAATCTCACCCGCACATATGTTACAGAATGAATAATTTATAGTGTACCCTATAAATATTTTATCATTTGATTGTTTGCTTAGTGCATTTTTACATTTGTTTGGGAGCACAGTTTCTGTGTAAAGTAGATTTCATACTGGGCTGGCAATTTACTCTGTCACTGTTAACATTCCAGATGTTGAATGTGGAGGTGGCTTTTATGTCAGAAGCCTGGTCAGTGACATTGGAAAAGGTAGGCATGGAAAAAGCATACTGCTTAAGGAATGTGCCTCTGTGCTGATAGAAGAATATTCTCCTTTTGCATATCTCTGGTCACCAGACTTAATGTGCTGGGTTGCAGGGCTGTCATTCACTTTTGTGTACTACAGTAGTTTCCTCTGGAGCATAAAGAGAAGCAGGGTAAATCATTGCAAAGGAATCGCAAGGGAGAGAATAAAGAGAAGGTGAAAGTGTTCACCAGGCCCTGTGATTTTTTTATTTTTATTTTATTTTTATTTACCATACCAGGGTTTACCTGATCCTTTAAAGGAAAAATATAAAGACATGGTCCCTACGCCAAATTTCTCCTTTCTGTTGCTTTTCAAATTCATTTTGAAATCTTTCGACACCCGGGGAGTATATTTCAGAGACTTCTTCATCCTATGTCCAAAGGGCAGCTCTGTGTGTGCTGTATCCTTGGGAACCTGATCAGAAGAAGTCTCTTCTGTCTCAGTGGTAATTAATCACCACATTAGTATTTATCATATTTTTTTTTACTGTTCTAGTAAGTGAGATAAAGAAAAATTATAGAAAATGTCTAAGTCCTATTTTTAAAAAGGGATGGAAGCTTCTAAGTCTCTTTAAAAGTCTGTGGAACTTATTCTCCTGAGTCCTAAAAAAACTTTTGGAAATTTTACTCTGGATTTGTTTCAGGGTACATAACTAATATAACTAATTTACATAACTAATTTTCTTTTGTATTTTGATATCCGTACACAAAATCTGAAGACTCTGATCTCCTTTACTCTGGAGTAAATCTGTTGAAACTGTTCCAGATTTACACTGTTGTAAGTGAGCTGAGAATCGGAATTGGAGTCCCTTTTCTTCAACTCAAAATATACGAAAAAAAAATAGTATAATTAGTTCTTTAGGGATTTAAAGCAAGATCCATGGATTTTAAACTTGAACTTTCACCTCTTTTGGCTGCTTTCTCCTTTTTATACTGTAGAACTCTCTTCCTGTGCCAACGTGCAAGAGTTGACCCGGACCAAGCAAGGACCATTTACACTAGAGGAGCATGCACTTCATGAAGACAAATGGACAATTGATGAAATTGCACAGTCCTTGAAACAGTCCATGTTGCTTGTTGCGGTGGAACCATCCCTTAAAAAATTAAAGACTGAGCATTCTGAAGAATCCAGTGTGAATTGTGAAGATAAGTGATAAGTCAGGTCAAGGAAAAAGACTGAATGATAGAGACATTTTAAGACTGGAGTGGGATTGTCTTGCCTTGCTGTGTAAATTTACCACCTTGTGCATCGAAGATGACAAACTGCAAGGCAGAGAAAATGATCTCTATCTTTTTCTTGTGCTAAGACACATACAGGCACACACACAGTGTCCATTTCTTACTGCCTCACTTATATTCTGCATGGCACACAGTAAATGGATGTGTCCTTAATGTAATCTCCCTATTGTACTTTAGAAAGATCTTGCGAGAGATTTTTTTTTTATACTACATTTGCAATAAAAAATTTAAGTTTAAATTTTGCTAGATGTTCCTAGAAGGGAAAAAAATTCCTTTTCTTTCTGGTCCTTAAATTCAGATACTGAAAATGGTAACAGAATTTCGTGCCAATTCAAAAGATACAAAAATGTAGAATGGCACTTTGAGTTCTTAAGTAATTTCTTGAAATAGAAATGATCCTATAGGAGTCCTTACTACATGGACTGGTCTGTCAGTGGGATTTCACTAAGGGCCTGGTCAATATTGCCCTGAATGAGTTGTGATATAATAAATGCCATGATGAAAATTTCAGTTTAGTTGAACTGCTTATACACAAATCGGGTCTCCTACTGGCTCGTGGGCTAGTCCAAACTGGAGCAATTGTGCAATCCAGCCTTGGGCTCCCAGGAAACTGGGGGGGGGCACTGTTACCAGCCCCCATGACTTCCTCCTTCCTGCCATTGCCCTGCCCTCTCCTCCCATTGCACCCTGGCCCCCAAGCATGTGGCTTTAGGATCAATGGGGGGAGGAGGGAGCAGGGTGATCCTGCACGATAGCAGTAGTTGCACCACCCCACACTCCCCACGGCCACAAGAGCTACGGGGGGAGCGGAGCGCAAAAGGACATCCCTCACCCTGGCCCACCAGGAGACCCTTGCTGGTTTGTGCTATCGCTCCAGCTGGCACTGGCCTGTGGGTTAGGAGTTTGAGACCTCTGATATAAACAGTAAGGAACACAATATCCTCACCAACAATCTTTCTCTCTCTACATAGAGATTTGCATATCTTCATATTGATAATATTTCATAATTTCTGTCTGCAAATAAATTAAGATTATAGTCACCTCTTGTGCTCTTTTTGGGAAAGAAGGGATTCACCTGTTGTCTCACTGTGTTGCCTCAGATTCCTGATCAGTTTCAGTGGCTTGGATGAAGGGGTGAAGCCAGTTAGAAATTGTATTGACCAGTGAGGCCCCCATTAGTAGTTGTGTTGATGCTCAGCTGGGCCTGATCTAAAGCCCATTGAAATCAATAAGAGCCTTTCAGCTGATCTGAGTTGTATTTGGATCTGACCCCTACTGACTTTAAGTCTAAATGTGGTTACAAATCATTGGGAAAGAGCAGTCCAATGCTGCTTTCCTTTGGGAAGAAGAGGTTGCATAACAACAGCTTGACGATTAGCATTATTGACCCTACTTAGAAATTAGCAGAGGGTTACCAGCTCTCTTGCAGTAGTGAGTACTGGAGATATGCAGGTTAGTAAGGAAATGATCACCGAGAGAAACTCTTTCATCCAGTTGCCTGAAGGATGAATGATTGAAGACAACTGTCAGCTAAGTGGGACAGAATGGCCTTGTTTTAGGAGTCTGCCATTTTAAGGCCAAAGATTACCACTATGATCTGCTCTTCTGGCCTGCTGTATAACCTAGGCTATAGAGTATCATCAGGTAATTCCTGAAGTGGAGGAGATTACTCTTCTTTTTCCATGCGAGAGAACTCTACTGAGCCCAGTAGTTGTGGCTGGATTAGAGTGTATCTTTTTATAGACAGAGATTAAACCTTGATTCCAAGTGATTGGTGAATTCACTATTTCTCATGGAGAGGTAGTTCCAGTAATGGGTCTCTGAGATGAACACTTACCTATCTCTCCATCTCTCTGAACCAGGTCTAAAAGTTGTCTGGTGGCTAGGGCATCTACTTGGAAGGGGGAAGACCTAAGTTCACGTTCCTGCTCCAGTGACTATTTAAGTACAGGCAGTCCCCGGGTTACATGGATCCGACTTACATTGGATCCCTACTTACAAACGGGGTGAGGCAACCCCGCACTAGCTACTTCCCCCCAGCAGACCAGGGAGACGCGGAGCAGCTTTTCTCAGCAGACACCTCAGCTTAAGAATAAAGGACTGAGGGAAGTGAGGTGTGGGAGAATAAAACTGAGCTCTGGAGAAATGTTTGGCTAGAGTTTCCCCTACAATATGTACCAGTTCCGTCTTACATACAAATTCAACTTAAGAACAAACCTACAGTCCCTATCTTGTACGTAACCCGAGGACTGCCTGTATTTATCCAAACTGGAACAGCTTCAACAGGAGAGATTGAGAACTGCTACAGAATACCCCACAGTGCAAGGGCTTGGGCACTCCCTTGTGAGGGGTGAGATTCCTACTTCACATCAGCAGAATAGGAAACTAAGCCTGGGTCAGCCACATCCCAGGTGATTGTTAACCACTGGCCTGGAGATTTGTAAGGGAGGTTGCTCCTCCTTCTACTCCAATCACATTTAATTTTTAAGATTTTTCTGGAACTGCCATGGACCCCTCCACCCCAATAAGTTATTCGTCCAATTCCATCTACAACAGGCAACATTGTTAGCATTTCCCCCCTTTGTCTCCAAAGGAATCAGAATTAAATAGCAAACAATCACTGTTCAGTATATATCTCTTGAGTGATCAAAGACTTGGATTAAAGCCCTGTTTTTTAAAAACTGTCTATCCCAATCTTCCTAGCCTTGTGCAAAAGCCTAATTGGTGTTATTCCAGTGGTCTTGTAGAATTGAATGCCAAGCTTTCACTTTGTTCATATATCCTGGGGATATCTTTCTGTTGGTTCCCCCCGCCACAATAGCCAGCAAGAATATAGTCTTCCAGTCTAGTTATATCTACAGCAAGTTACTTTTTTTGAAAGAACTGGAATTGAAAAATCTCCTTTTCTATTATTAGGTAACATATGTACATAGTGCTATAACTGTCTGACACATTCTTCTCATCTGTTTGCTTGGTGTTTACTACTTCTCAGTATTCTTTTAAAGCTTTCTAAATAGTCTTAAATTCAGCAAAGTGTCCTATATTTTTCTCTGCTTTTGCATTAGTTTGATGCTGTCTAATCTCCTGGAAGCATTACCAGTGTTTTTATCGTTTTGGTAACAAAGGGCCTGTTTCAGAGCCTATTAACAATCGATGGAATGGCTCCCATTTTCTGTGGGCTTTGGATAAGATCCAAAGTGTTAAGCAAAATCTATATAGAAAGCAGAAAGGGGAGAGTATCTAATCATGCATTTTCCTGATTAATCTTTGAGGGCTTGTGAAGGGGTGTGTAGCCAGAGAACCTTGCCTTTTAAGGATAAACAGTATCTGCTGCTTATTTAAAAAAAAATAGATCAACAGAAATAGTCAAAAATACAAAGGAATATTGGAGAATTGTTGCAATAAGATGACTGGCGTTGAAAATCTGATCCGTAAGGAAAGTAGGATTCCAACAATGCAAAAGCATGAAAAGGAAACCGATAAATTATAAAACCCATGGCAACTATATAGAAGCAGCGGTGGCAAAGGTGTAGGCCCAGTGGATGCAAAAATTGACAAGTCTGGCACATTACTGTGCCAGAGATAACGAGATCAAGCTTAGTGTGACTGTGTTCAGCTTGAAAAGCAAACCACATTTTTCCACTAAAGCCTTTTCCCAGTAATAATGCCCCTAAAAATGACATACTACATATGTGGCATGTTGCAGAGCCATACGATACATTTAGTGAGCAACACTTGCCCACGTCACTTGTCTTCTGACCACTAGCCCATCTCATCTGTGTTCTTGGAACTTATGACAAACTTCACAAAACAACTTTTTCCTCTTTCTGAAATCATCCCTAGCCAGTGATCTGTATGGTGTGCTATTCATCTCAGGAAAAGAGCCAGTGCTCCTAGACAGCATTGTGAGTTTAAAGTCTGGCATCCCTGGGCCTTAAGTCCTTTTTTTCTTTTTCTTTTTAAAAGGTGCTACCAGTGGACAGAAAAATTCCAAGGGAACTGAGTAGTTTTTGCTAGCCCTGGAAGGTTCCAAAATATTGGACATAAGTCATGCTAACTTTTATGCCTAGAAAAAGTTGTTAGAGCCTTTTTACACATATCAGAGGCTTCCTATGATCCCACTCACCAGGACTCTCAGTAGCTTTGTCATTATTTGCTCTTTACAGACAAAATACTAGAATCCTAGTGGAGAATAAGTTTTCTTGGGCAAAGACCCACTTTGTCAGATGCATGTGACATAAGCTTATGCTCCGATATATCTGTTAGCCTATAAGGTGCCAAAGGACTTACTGTTATTCTTGCAGATTCAGAGTAACACGGCTACCCCTCTGACACTAGTATCCTAGAATACTCAAGGAGGTGACCGAGGTGATATCAGAGCCATTAGCGATTATCTTTGAAAAGTCAAAAGAAGACAGGAGAGAGTCCAAAAGACTGGAAGAGGACAAATATCATGCCCATCTAGCAAAGGAGGGAGGAAGTGGCTCTGTGCGGGAACATGTCCCCTGCACTGGCTTGCAGGCTCCACTCCCATTGGTTGGGAATATCAGCCAATCGGAGTGGTGGGAGGTGTTCCTGTCAGCACAGGGCAGTGCAGAGTCACTAGCGCCCCCTCCCCCCTGGGAGCTGCACCAGGTTGGTGCCCCCATTTCCTGTGGTTTTCTGCATCCCACCTCCATCCCCAGCCTGCTCCTTCCCCCTTACACCCAGACCCCCTTGGACCCACAGCCTGCTCCTGCTTTCCAGCATCCAACTTCCCCCGCCCCATGTTCACCATGTTTCCTGGCAGCCCCATTCTGCACACTGAACTGCTTGGTTTTGCCCCCCCCCTTAGCCTAGGAAGGCCCCACAAAATCTACTAGTCCCAGGCCCCCAGAATAGTTGAGCCCCCCCTTAGAGATGGAGTGTGAGTTGCATGAGTGAGGCGAGTGCCTTTTTTATTGTTGTTTCTCACTTGACTGTGGGTCAGTGGTCCCTGGCCCGAAAAAGGTGCCTAACACCCTGTCTAGATAATACTTAGCTCTGCCAAGACTGGACTAGATGACCTCTCGAGTTCCCTTCTAGTTCTATGATTTTTAGTGAATCATTGGACTTTATCAATGTATTACATAATTGTCTCCACGCTAGTTTAGTATTTAGTCCTCTATCCTTCAGCTTTTTTTCTTCTGGACTTACACTGTTACTATTTATACTGGGAGAAGTTTTAAAAAGCCAAATATTCAAAGCAGACCAACACTTCTGGATGGTTGGTTGGTTGGTTTGTTTTAAATCATGGTAATTCACGTGTACACCTCAGTAGCATGCATTACTTCAAAATTATCCATACTAGGTTACTCGAGTACCAGTTCCTTTTCATTAGCGAAGGTCAAGAAAGAGGTAGGTAGGTGTGTGTACACATGTACACACACATGTCCATAGCTATAGGAAAATCATGCAGGACAATGAGTGAATTCAGCCAGCCTGAACAGAATTACTGGCCCCATGGAGAAGCAGTCACTGTTTCCAATTACCATTGTGCTTAAATGGGTTCTCTAGGAAACTTCTTGATTAAGTAGATTGCTAGTGGTGCATCCCAAGTAACCAGAGCACATTGTATCAGCTGAGTCCTTACATCTCTCCTTTGAGATGAAACATTAGTCTGCTTGTTCACAATCGGTGCTGAAATCATGGCTATACTGAAGTAGAGAAAGAACAAGATCCTAATCAGAATGATACAATGTCAGCATTCAAGACTTAAAAGAGTGCAGTAAAATTAAGTGGATAAAATCTTGAACAAATTTCCACTTAATTGCTTTGAGTCATTGTAGCTTTTCCTAAGGAACTGGTCATTTATTCTTAGCATATGGGCAATATGTGCAGGCTTCATCACCAAATGTGTAGCCCTAGAATGAGACTTAAAAGAGCCCCTAGGATTCTGCTGTGGAGGTAGAAATATTGGCCCTCTGTTTCCCCCTTTGCTGTTAGTTAAAAGAAGCAAAAAGCCTATTGCCCAGATGTTGTCCAAGGGAGATGAGTTGAACTAATACAGAGCCATCCACCTTCTTTCCTGCAAGAGCCCTTGTGCGCTTCTTAGCAGTGCCTTCCGCAATAGGGCTATGTCTACACCGCCAGTTTTTTGCGGCAGAAGATATGCAAATTGCGCTGTCATTTATATATCTTCTGATCCTTTTTGCGGAAGATATGCAAATGAGAGTGTGATTTGCATATCTACTACTGGAAAAAAAAATGGCAGCATAGATGTAGCCTGGGAGTGAGGTGTCGTGAAAACAATCTTCCATCCAGACTAGCGTTCCCTCTAATTTTTTCCATCCATGTGTGGAATATATGTTATGTGCATCAAGACATGCGTAGATGTGCACCACCAGTAAAAACAGATGCTGCCAGCTATGGGCATTGTGGGCACTCTGCTAATCAGCTGGGTGGCAATCTCCCCTGGGTGGCCATCCAAGTGCTCAGCTTACAGGGAACACTGAGCCAGACCTTGTGCAAGAGACAGAGCATACAAAGCTTTTAACTCCAAAAGGTCACTGTGAGAATGAATAGTTCAAGTAATGGAGCAATTAAATATGTAAGGTATGCAAAAAAAAAGGGGGGGGGGGCTTTGAGCAGCCTATAACATGCCCTTTCCTTTCCCAAAGCAGTAGTCCTCTCCCATTTAACATAACTCTTCCCATAAGAGGGCCTGTAAATTTAAAGATAAATGCTAATGTCTCAGATATCCCCTCAATCAGCTCCTTGAGTATACCAGGATGTATTTCATCCGGCCCTGGCAGCTTGAAGGCATCTAAGTAATTTTTAACTTTGTTCTTTCCC